AGCATTTAGTTCCACGATTTAATTAAATAAGATTTATGGATAACATTGAAGCCAGAGCGAGAGCAAGTCAGTTAAATATATACATATAGCATGTACTCAGTTGCAGAGTCCAAAGACTCTCAAAAAAGAAAAACTCGTATCGTCGCTTGCTTTGGCTGTGCGTTCAGATATATACAGCTATATAGCCGACATTTCCACTCCTCTCCTCGTAGGCGCACATTCGGTATACCCCTTCCACGCGTCTCCAAAATGTGCGCCTATATGGACATTTCCACGCGAATCCACTCTTCTCATACCCCTACCGTGCTGCTCAAATAAAAAAAAAATGTGCGCCTGGTTCGGCCGCTTGGCCGCGGCGGGGCGCTCGAACCACTGGAAAAAAGTGGGCACACTCCGTAGCATGGCAGTCAGCAATCTCCCAACTCATCTCTGCTCGCAGCTGCCACCGAACGCAGGAGCAACGAAAGAAAAAAAGCTAAAGGATTATGCGTAGAGGGGGCCCCCAAACACGCACGCAAAGACTTGTATTACGCTTCATGCGTGAGTGTGAGTGTCCCCGCCCTCCCATCAGTCCGTTCCTACCGCAAGTAAAAAGGCCACACTGAAAAAAATTTGGTCTGCTCTGGAGGTACCTCAGTTTGATGAAACGCATTTACGCTTACGCGTGGCGCGTGGCTCACTAGTGGCGCCACAGTTGGTGCATAGTAGACACTACGCAATTGTGTGAATTGTGTGATTGAAAGTGGAACCACCGTGGGATGTGACCGCGGCCTTACTTCTAGTTTGAAGGGTTTCTGAAGGGGTTCTAGAATTTTTAATTTTCAACGAGTACGAATTAAAAAATATCGGTGTTGGATCAAAAGAGATAAAACAATGGAGAAACCAGCACCAACAACAGAAAATACCTCTGGACAAATTATGTACATCAATAAGAAAACGATTAATAAAATATGTTCAGGACAAGTAAGTATCCTTATTTACGTGAACAACATCAAGCTTCAAATTATTGAAAAACATTGAAAAACTTTCATTAATTTTATAGGTCATTTTTGACCTTGCTACAGCAGTAAAGGAGCTAGTAGAGAATAGTTTAGATAGTTGTGCCACTATTGTAGAAATCAAATTAGTTGATTATGGCAGAACTTCTATCACAGTAGCTGATAATGGATGTGGAGTGTTGGAAAGAGATTTCGACGGGCTTGGTAGGTAACCATTATTTCTACCTCAATAGGGTTATTCACTATAAATTAGTTGATTTTGATTATTTTTTTAGGCTTAAAACATCATACTTCCAAACTGAAAGATTTTTCAGACTTAGAAGAAGTAGAGACATTCGGTTTTCGAGGAGAGGCTTTAAGCTCATTATGCGCCCTCTCAGATCTTCACATTATTACTAAGCATTCCACAGCATTGCATGCGTTCGACATACATTTCGATAAAAATGGTAAAATAAAAAAAAAAATCGTTAGTGCACGACACCAAGGCACAACGGTGTACATCAAAGAGATTTTCAAAAATTTACCTGTGCGCTTAAAAGAGTTCCAAAAAAATATTAAAAAAGAATTTAAAAAAATGATTCATGTCCTTCATAACTACTGTTTAGTATCCACAGGAGTAAAAATAATTTGTACAAATGCCTTGGGCAATAAGTCTTCTAATATCGTATTTTCAACCAATGGCTCAGTCACTGTGCTAGACAACATATCTGCAATATTTGGGAGAAAAATACGAGATAATTTACTCGAAGTTGAATTGCTTCCATCTGATGGGAACATTCTTGAAGAGTACAGCTTAGCGATTGATGAACCTTTAAATTTCAGATGGAAGTGTTTTGTGAGCACTTGTATCCATACATTGGGATGTTCTTCTCCAGATAAACAATTTTTTTATGTTAATAATAGACCTTGTGATCTTTCAAAAGTAAGCAAATTGATAAACTTTATCTTCCATAATTACAACAATAAACAATACCCGTTTGTCTACTTGAATATCCTGATAGAAAAAAACTGTGCAGATGTTAATGTAACACCTGACAAAAGAACTGTTTTACTAACTAATGAAAAAATAATTTTTGCTGCTATAAAATCTAATTTTAACAAATTATGGAATAGTTGTCAGGGAGTATTCACAGAAAAAACCCTACCAGAACTGAGATCACAAAGTCTCAAAAGAGACTTCCCATCATCTCCAGAGGATGGCCCCCCTTTAAAAAAACTTACTTTTCAACGTTTAAATGAGATCACTGATGTGACAAAAAACATAAGTTCGAGCATTGCCATTGAAGATATTAAAACCAAATTGTTAAAACTTAAATTGAGAAAAGAAGGTAAAGATTCCAGTTCAATCGAGCTTAGCAACCAACAAGTTCAAGGCAGAAGTAACGAATCTAAAAATAAAAAGAACTTTATTTCTGTAATAGAAAAAAATAAAGAATCACTTCATGAGAAAATTTTAACTCATACAATACCAAAAGAAACTTTTGACAATGAAGCAGAACTGTGTACTAAGTTTCCCATTGTGAACATGACTGTAACTTTAAGCAGCATCAAGGACAAACTACGTAAAATAAAAGAAATTAGAAAATCTGAGATAAAAGCTAAAAATACTCTTCACTTTGAGACTCGATTGAATTCAAATACCATTGATATAGAAAGAGAATTCAAAGACAAATTAACAAGTGAATCTTTTGATCAAGTATTTTATTTTTTATTTGTGATACTTTCCAGTTTCTATGAATTATTACTGATTTTTCGATTGTTTCTAGATGGAAATTATAGGCCAGTTCAATTTGGGATTTATTTTAGCAAAGCTTGAAAATAATTTATTTATAGTAGATCAGCATGCAAGTGATGAAAAATACCGTTTTGAAAAGCTTCTAAGCGATACAAAATTAAAAACTCAAAAACTGATTGTACCAAAACCTTTAAATCTTGCGGTTATAAAAGAGTCTGTTCTTATGGATAATTTAAACATATTTCAAGACAATGGCTTCACATTTGAGATAAATAATAATGGTAATTAAAACAGTTGGTATTTGTTTCATAATTGCTTAAATAAGTATTTTGTTATTTATAAACTACTTATCTGAATTTATAGAAGACATTGGTAGAAAAGTCAGTCTTAAAGGCATGCCTGTAAGTTTTAACTGGCAGTTTAGTCGAGAAGACATAGAAGAACTCATCTTTCTAATACAAGAAGGAGGAGAGGATGGCACGAATTCAAATGTCATTCCTCGACCATCGAGAATTCGACAGATGCTAGCATCAAGGGCGTGTCGTAGTGCAGTTATGATTGGAAGAACGTTGAATCGCATGAAAATGCGTCAAATAGTAAAGCAAATGGGTGACATGACTAACCCCTGGACTTGTCCTCATGGAAGACCAACGCTTCGACATTTGTGTACATTTACTCCTTTTATAAATTCAAAATAAAAGAAGTTAGTTAAACACTTCTATTATAAAAACAATCTATTTAAAATGTTACAGACAAAAAAAAGATATACTATTAAAATTATAAAACTATTACAAAACCAAATCTCTTCAATCACTAACTCCATTATTGCATTGTAAAATATTTGAATGGCTCTGGCTTACTATAGGTATACACAATATTTGTGGAGGATAGGCCTTCTGAAAATAGCCTGGGGACAAAAAAAAACGATTTAATCTGTTTTCCAATTGTTCATTTCCCCGGGACTATTAGGGAAAAAATAATGTTGTCCATATCAAAAATCGTCTTCATTCATTTATTTAGCAGTTTCATAATTTGCGTTTCAACCATAGAGATACAAGGATGGTGTTAAGTTGGAAAGATATTGGTAAGGAGGTGCTTCGCGATAATGATTAACAATTGATTATATAAAGAGCTTTATTCAATCACCGAAATTAGAGGCAAAGTAGCGCGTATGCTTGGTCTCTAAGGCTCGTCGTGTAACCCTAATTCCCAAATCCGCGAATGCCCAACTGCTCGACTCCTTGACTCTCTGACTGGTTGACTGCTCGAGTGCCGCCTAAGTGTCCGAATGTCGCCTGAGTGCCGCGATTTGAGGCTCGCTGGGAATTATACTAGCTTGTTCCGGCAGTGTTGGTGTAGGAAATGTAGTCATCTACTTGAGAGAGAAAAGATTATTTGATGTTTCGTCCCGGGAGCACGCCAGGACTCATCAGTAAGGCTGATGACGTGCTCCCTGCCTTAGACACCTATATCGGTGGGGATACCCTAGCTCAATTTTAAACGCCCATATATATTAACCAACATGAAATCCGGGCACTTGCGAGAAAGTCGAGTTCAATGGTTAGACACCTAGCGAATGGTTGGAGAGGAACAGAGAGCCGAAGTGTACATGTGTGTGAGAGAGTCCCCACACACTCCCCCTCCAGTTACAACGCCTGGATGAAGGAGTGGTGACGATATGTAAGAAGTGCGCAGTGACGTGTTTTTGACGTGCATGGCGTGGTATATTAGCAGAAGGCAAGATAGGGGANATTTATTGTGCATGTAATTGTGTCGAGTTATCTGGGTATTTGCGTCTTGCAATACATTGCATATTTGATTTTCCCACAAGTTTGCTAGTCACATTCGGGGAGAACCACTGGCCTCCTCCCCTCTCCTATTTAGCTTTTGCATTTTTCTCACTAGGATCTGTAGCTATATATAGGTCCTAGTGATAAAAATGCAAAATCATATCCTCCTCACTCAACACTGCCAACAAGTCACACCTCCCATGCCTGAGTCACGCCAGCGCCGTTCACCAAGCGAGCGTGCACGACTCATGGCCTGAGAGACATTGCCCGATCGCGCCGAGCAATGCCTAGAGATTACCACAGCCATGCCTCTGCGTGTGCGTGCTCGACGCTGCGACTTCGTCGCACAGTTTGTCCCCTCGAGTTTCACTTGCTGTCCTTGAGTTTCAGTATGGCACATACTCACGCCATTTTTAATTTTTAACTCGACACTCAACACAGTCTTTTCCGTTGTCGTGTACTGCACAAATGAACTTTTTACTTGAGGCTATAAAAGCAGCTCCTTCACCTTCATGCTGTCCCCTGTCGAGCCCTCTATGAAAGCTCCGGGCCCATAACCTTTTAATCAGGTAGAGTTCAGTCAAAGGGTTAAGGTAACAGAGTAGAAAGATATTCATTTATCTCAATTAGTATATAAGTAATTGTGCTACCAAGAAGTGTGCACTCTCTGAGCTTGATGGATAAGCACTGAGTATAGAGAGTGTGCATTATCTCTATTATACTTATTCGTCATGTTAACCTACTACAAGTGCCACCCTGGCCGATTAAAGTAAAACTCTACTGGGACGCATATCTCTGGCTTGCATAGTTCGGTAAAGTAAATTTTAGTTTTATAACGAATAATTGTCAAAAACAAGTTCATGTATACGAATGCAGTGACGATGGTTGTAGTAAAAGTTCGATCGAGAAAGGTGTGATTATGCACACAAATCACCTCGATCAACGCTTATTCATAAAAAGTGGTTTGTTTTCTTTCGTTTCTGTTAGTCTTAGCTCCAAGAGTAATTTGCCATCAACAATAAACTCGAGAGGAAATCATACTCATATCAATTTTTGAACTAATTATTTATTTATCAAAGAGAAAATATACAAAAAAATAACCTAAAAGGAAAATTCGCGAGAAGAAAAAAATGTAACCATTCTGAAATAACAAAATCAAACTGCTTATGAGGGCACGTCTTCGGTACCAAGGAACAACAAAGTGGCAACAGCGAAATTGTTGCTAATTAGACTTGAGCAGTGAAGAAAGGACCGCTGCGCGGGAGCGACTTACTGCTGCAAAGGTCGAAAAGCTAGAGAGCCAGCTCGCAGCCAGAGATTAGTTGGGAGATTGCTGACTGCCATGCTACGGAGTGTGCCCACTTTTTTCCAGTGGTTCGAGCGCCCCGCCGCGGCCAAGCGGCCGAACCAGGCGCACATTTTTTTTTTATTTGAGCAGCACGGTAAGGGTATGAGAAGTGTGGATTCGCGTGGAAATGTCCATATAGGCGCACATTTTGGAGACGCGTGGAAGGGGTATACCGAATGTGCGCCTACGAGGAGAGGAGTGGAAATGTCGGCTATATAGCTGTATATATCTGAACGCACAGCCAAAGCAAGCGACGATACGAGTTTTTCTTTTTTGAGAGTCTTTGGACTCTGCAACTGAGTACATGCTATATGTATATATTTAACTGACTTGCTCTCGCTCTGGCTTCAATGTTATCCATAAATCTTATTTAATTAAATCGTGGAACTAAATGCTCATTAATTATATACACAGAATTTTGATTTCAATACATTATGTTTTAACTCTCCCGTACTCTTAAAATTCCCAAATCCATTTATGTTTTCAAAAAATTAACCA